CCTTTTGAATTTTTTTTAAATAAGAGCATGTAGAAATCAGACATTCTCCTCCAAATTACCTCAAGACTTACACCTCTAGCAGCCCTTTAACAAGTGATTTTTTACCTCCAAAACCGGATTACACCCTCCTGACTTTCCTTAAACGAAAACCTCACACAACCCAACACCTTCCCCTGAAGAAGCACACGCACACACCGACCTGTATGACTAAGGGTTTGAGCTGGTTGGGCTCGGGCCCCTCCAGGATGCAGCCGAAGGCCATGACGGCGGCGTCGCGGTACCGCCAGTCGGGGTTCTTGATGTGCTCCTTGATGAAGGGCAGCACGTGGGGGACGATGTCGTCCTCGCAGCACGTGGCCAGCAGCATCAGGCACACCCCTGCCGCCTTGCAGGGGTTCCAGTCGTCGTCGTCGTCGTTCTCGTCCTGCGGGAAAAACGCCAGGGTGATGCCTGAAGGTTGAACTTTAATTATTACAGATTTGGCGCTGCCTTGGGGTGAGGGTCTGGGCTTCCTATTAAGGGTTAGTGAGCTCTCTTCATGGAGTAAGGAGAAAAAATAATTCCTTTTACAGCTTGGGACCAAGGACAATCATACAAGTCACAGGCCCAAGAGCACATTCTTGGGTCAGGAATAGAGGGAATCACCAAACCTCTCTGGGAACGAGAAATATTGGGAAGCACAGCTCCAATAAATCCCTGAAAGTTTAACAGGGAGTAAAGAAATCCAGGCCTCAAAAATCCCAGGGACTGGGAGCTCACATGAAGCTGTGGAATATTTGGTTTAATATTCCAAATAGGAATAGAGGGAATCACTAAAACCCTCTGGAAACCACAAATCTTGGGAAGCACAGCTCCAGTAAATCTCTGGAAGTGTTTAACAGGGCCTAAGGCCTCAAAAATCCCTGGAAGTGTTTAACAGGGCCTAAGGCCTCAAAAATCCCTGGAATTGGAGCCCACATGAGACAGGGGCTGTGCAATATTTGGTTTAAATCCCAAATATTCTGTCAGGAATACAGGGAATCACCAAACCCCTCTGGAAACCACAAATGCTGGGATGTGATCAGGGAAAACGAGGCAAGTCCCAGTCTCAGCCCAAAACTTGCTGCATCACTGGCTCAGAGTGGTGCATGAAAGCTCATCACAGACCAGGGACTGCCCCTCCTGAGGCATTTCTGGGATCCAAATGGGCCCAGAGGAATCCAAACCCCCTTCCCAAGAGCTCCTGAGCTGCGATTCCCTCAGGGAATGTGGCGCTCACCTGTTTTGTTAAGGTCTGGGTTAGAATAGGGACCAAATATTGCAGTGCCCCCTTGGCATAGAACTTGCTGGTGTGCTCTGGGGGCCGTCCTTGTTCTGCTGCCTGCAGAGAAGAAAAAGAGGTGAAAAGTTTACTTTCATCAATATTTTTTATCTGTTTTTAAGCAATTTTTTTCAGCATTAAAAGGCTGAATGATCAACTCGAGGAGGCACAAATTCCCCATTCCCCCCCCTGCTCCCCAGCACAAATTCTGAGCTGCCTCAAGGGCACTTTGCACTGAGGTAAATATTACAAAATCCACTTTAAATATTCCAAAATCCACTTTAATTCCTCATCCCTCCTCACAGGGCACAATTATCCCCATTTTCACTTGGCTGTCAGGTGTAATTACCAAGTGACCCCGAGGTGAAGGAGCAAAAGGTTTGGAGCAAATAAACCCCACCCCACTGCTGCTGCCTGTCCTTTTATCCTTGATTTCTTTATTTTTTGGGAATGCAAGCATAAATCTAGATTTAGCTGCTTTTAAAAAAATGGATGTGATTCATGCAGAGCCCTTCAAAGTTTCAGCTGTTATTGATCCCCACAGATAATTTCTGCAAACAGCATCTGCATGCAGAACAAATTCCCCAAATTCCTCTCCAGCCCCAGCCATTCCACAGGATAATTACTTTTATTTCATCCAGAATTCCAGGTCTGACTCATAAATCATGGATTTTATGGAATGTGAACCATCTTCTGGCATAAAGCCCCTCATGGTTGTGACAGACCCCAAAATTTTGGACATTATTTTATTAATCCCATGGATTATTTCCAGGAAAAGCATGGGAGAGCCCTGTGATAGGAGCTGCATGTGGAATTGGGTGGAAATAGGGAATAAGAATGGTAAAATTGGGTTATTTGAACAAAACCCACCAGGCTGGAGAGTGCTGGGATGGTGAGAGGTGTCCCTGCCCATGCTGGGATTTAAGGTCCTCCCAACCCAAACCACCCCAGGATTTTGGGATTAACAGGAATTCCAAATGCAGAGTCAGCCAAAAACCCCCAATTTACCTGGGGGAGCAGGACCTGGGCCAGAACCAAGTGGGGAGCTAAAAACTCCTCCCAAAGGAGGAGCCAAAGAGTCCCAAATGAGGAACTAAAAACTCCCAAATCAGCAGCTAAAAAGTCCCAAAAGAGGAGCCAAAAACTCAACTCCCAAATCAGCTAAAAAGTCCCAAAGGAGGGGCTGAAAACTGCCAAGGGAGGAGCTAAAAAATCCAAAAGGAGGAGCCAAAAATCAAACTCCCAAATGAGCTAAAAACCTCCAAAAGAGGAACCAAAAACTCAACTCCCAAAGGAGCCAAAAAACTCGCAAAGGAGGAGCTAAAAACCCCCAAATGAAGAATATAAAGCTCCCAAAAAGAGGCGCCACAATCTCTTTTAGGGCTTTTCACGTGGTGCTGTGAGCCCAAAACCAGCCAGGAATTTCCCCATTTCCCTCTGGAATAGCAGGAGCAGCTCCAGGGTGGCCAAAGGCAGGAATGGCAAATTCCAGGGGATGGATGAGGGATGGATGAGGGGACCCCAGGGGATGGATGAGGGATGGATGAGGGATGGATGAGGGATGGATGAGGGATGCCAGGGGATGGATGAGGGATGGATGAGGGGATCCCCAGGGGATGGATGAGGGGACCCCAGGGGATGGATGAGGGGACCCCAGCCCCACCTCGGAGGCCTCGATGGCCAGGTCCATCCCCAGAGGATGGATGAGGGATGGATGAGGGATGGATGAGGGATGGATGAGGGATGGATGAGGGATGCCCAGGGGATGCCAGGGGATGGATGAGGGATGCCCAGGGGATGCCAGGGGACCCCAGCCCCACCTCGGAGGCCTCGATGGCCAGGTCCATCTCCTCGTCGCACACGTTGGACCAGAACTCGATGCCCTGCAGAGCCACCTCGTCTATGTCGCTTTTCATCGCCTCAATCGTGATCTGCCAAGCCAAAAAAAAAAGAGATTTTAGGGGCTGATCCCACCTGAATTCATCCTGTTTTGGGGGAGATCAGGAGGAGACTGGGGGTTGCCGGAAATTCAAGTTATTGAGGTTTAAAATTACAAATAACTGGATTTTTTCCCCCTAGTTTATCACCTCGAACTGAGGTTTCTGTCCCATTTGGAATCTCAAGGATGGGGTTTGTAGGGATTGGGATTCCCAGGGATACAAAGGAAAATCAGGAATGGAAGTTTTTAAAGAGATGGCCTTCAGAAAAATAAAAATGGAAAATATAAACAGAATTTGAGGGAGATTCAGGAAATAAACATGAGAAATATAAACATAAACAAAGGAAACTCAGAGAAATTAACACGAGGAAATACAAGTGTAAACAAAGGAAGATCAGAGAAATTAATGTGAGAAATACCTATACAAGTAGAGAGAGAGTAGAGAAATAAATATGAGAAATGGGGGAAATCACAGAAATATAAATAGAGGAAAATCAAGAAAATAAATATCAATATAAACACAGGGAGATCAGCCAAAAAAAAGTGAGAAATATAAATTCAAATGAGGAGAAATCAGAGAAATAAAAATACAAATGGGGGAAAATACAAGCAGAGGAAAATCAGAAGAATAAATATGAGAATTAGAAATAAAATTTATTTCTTTATTATAAATAAATAATTTATTACATAGGAACTTATTTAATATATTACTTACATATCATTAACATATATTAATGTATCAATGTATAAATATTATACAGTTACATTATATTAATATATGCTTATTATATATTAAATTATTATGTTTATAATAAATATAAAAATTATTTTCTAATTATAAAATTATTTTATAAATAAATTACAAACCACTCACAGCAAAGAGGGCAGGCCCCATGTAGGTCTCCATATATTGATAATAAAGGGACATTATCTTGACCAGGTTCTGTAAGGCAGCCACTCGTACCTGGGGCAGAGAAAAATGCCAAATTTACACAATTTTCTTATTTTAACCTATTTTTGGCAGGCAGATATCCCCAGGAAGGGAATTTTGAATTTACTCACCCTTGTGTCTGGACACTGTGTGGCTTCACAGACTACTTGCATAATAAAGTGCCTTTCAGACTGAAATAAAGAGAATTAAAAGAACATTTAAAGGGGGTTAAAGAAGAATTTAAGCTTTTAAAGGCTTCCCAGGGAGGGTGAATTTAGGTCTGGACCAGCACAGGCACAGGGCACCACTACCATTCCCATTTTTCCCAAAAATGGGAATATTTTCCCCCCAAAAACGGGAGTGCTTTTCCCCAAAATTGAAGTGGTTGTTTCCCCCAGAATGGGAATCCAAAACCTCCATTTCAAGGTTGTCCAAAATAAAGACACAGCAGAACTTCAGAATTCAAAAATCCTGCTGGTCCCTGAATTATTTCAGCAATTTCTTACAAAAAAAAAAAAAAGGAAAAAAGAAGGAAAAAAAGGAAAAAGTCACTGCTCACTGCTCCCCTCCCTGCAGACCCCCAGCGCTCCTGCCTGCCCAGAGCTGCATCCAGGTCTCAGTTTCCACAGGATTTATCCATCAAAACTCAGCGTGGTGCATGAACCTCATCACTGACCGTGGATCAGCAGCTCCCCCTGCAATCCCTTCCCAAAATTTTGGCATTTTTGGGGTTTTTTTTCCTCACCTCTTTGTCAAAGTTTGCTTTGGTGAATTCCAAAGAGTTCAGGAGTGCGTTGGTAGCTGCAAGCTTCACATTGTTGCTGGGCTCCTCCTTTCTCATTCCCTGGATTATGGCAGTCAGGATCTCATTGGATTTGTCCTGGAGCTGCTCTGGATCCTGAAAAAAAAGTTTAAAAAAATCTGGATAAAGTTATTTATGATTTAAATGGATTTTAAAAATTTATTTATGATTTAAATACATTTTCCTGTTTTCAAGCAGCAGAATCTACAAATAAAAGAGATTTTTTTTGGCCAGAATCTACATATAAATGTTTTGGAAAAATTTTAGGATAAACCAGGAAATCATGGGAAAATCCCAGGAATTCCTGCAGCAGCTGGGATGGGAAGGAGCAGCCTGAACTGAGCACAAACGCTCCAGAACTGCCCTGGCAAGGCAGAGGAAATGCAGGATTTGGCAGCGCAGGGAGGATCCCAAGGCTGGGCCCTGCTTTCCCTGGGATGCTGAGCTGAGGTTTTCCCTCACAGGCTCCCTTCAGGAACGGTGACCTGGATCTGGGGCGGGAAAGGAGGTCAGGCCTTCCAGGAACCAGCAGGGGAAAAGGCTCCTGCAAACCAGGGAATCCCTCCTGGAAATCAGCAGTGCCTGGGGCTGGGAACCAGCAAGGGATCGTCAGAGCTTCCTGGGAATCTCTAAGGTCAGGAAAGCCCTCCGAGATAATTCCACATCTCCCGGAAAACAGGATTTCCTTAAGGCTGGAAAAGCCCAAGACCGCAAAAATCTCCTGGGAATCCTTAAAAAAACAAAATCCTCAAGCAAAAGATCCAACTTAAAAAGCCCCAATCCAAAATCCTACCAAAAAAGTCCAGACTAAAGAACTCAATCCTAAACCCAGCCCAAGAAATCAAAAAAACTTTAACCCAAAAACTTCAACCCAAAATCCCATGGAAAGAATACAAGCCAAAACCCAACCCAAAAAATCCAAGAACCAGTCCCACCCAGAATCAAACCCAAAGATCCAAGAAACTCCAACCCAAAATCAAACCCAAAGAATCCAAAAAACTCCAACCCAAAGATTCAATAAACTCCAAGCCAAAAACTTCAGCCCAAAATACAACTTAAAGAATCCAAGCCAAAACCCAATCCTAAATCCAACACAAAAGATCCAAAAAATTCAAACCCAAGACCCAATCCAACCCAAAACGCAACCCAAAAAATCCAACCCTAAGAATCCAAAAAACTCCAACCCAAAGAACCAATCCANTGCAGCCTCAGCCCAAAAGGTGCAAACAATAAAAAGGCCCAAAAAGTGCAAACAAAGCAAATTGAGGGGAGCCATCTGTGAGGATGGGACTGCACAACCTGGAGCTGTAATTGGATAATTAACCCCAATATGGAAATGGACCAAAACTTACAGAAGTGTGAAAACTCCTGACTCTGAGTCCACCTTGGGTGCAGCCATGGCCAGGCTCTTGTGCTGCCCAAGGCATATCCTTGAAGCCTTTTAATAAATCCCTGCTTTACTCCTTTAACTCTGTGCAGCCTCTTTGGGCATCGAGGTGAGACCCCAGAGTGTCCCCTGGGCCTGGGCACAGCTCACCTTGTCCACCTGGGCCTGGGACGCCTGCTGGAGGGTGTTGAGCACCACGTCCAGGTACTTCTTGAACTCGCCACCGATGGCCAGGGCGATGTCCCCGAACACCGAGAGGATCTGCGGCTTCACCGACCTGTGCACGTTCTCGTTCTGGGGAAAAACACCCCAAAAAGGGCCCGGATCAGGGTGGGAAGGGGCAAAGGAAAGGAGGGAATGGGCTCAGGCTGCACCAGGGGGTTTGTGCGGGGCGCTCCAGAATGTTTCTCCAGTGGAGAAGTAGGAGCAAGTACAGCCAAGGGTTGGAAATGCCTGGAAATGCCTCAGGAATGTGGGAGAGGGAGGGAAAGGGAGGAGGGAATTCAGAAGGAAGAAAGGAATTTGGAAGGAAGGAATTCAGAATTCGGAAGGAATTCAAGAGGAAGGGAGGGAGGAATTTGGAAGGAAGGAAGGAATTTTTAAGGAATCCAGGAAGGAAGGAATGAACCCAGGAAGGAATGAACTCAAGAACTCAGGAAGGGATTCAGGGAGAGCGAGTGGGAGTGATGCAGAGTGGGAGAGAGGGAGGGATTTGGGAGGAACTCAGGAATCCAGGAAGGAATTCATTTAGGAATTCAGCAAGCTGATAAACGAGACATTCCCCCGGAGCCCTTGCCCCCAGCCCCTCCCGGCCGCCGCTCAAACCGCGCCGAACACGAGACATTCCCGGAGAATTCCTCCCACTTTTCCCAGGCTTCTCCCACCTCCCACTCCCCTGGGAAGAGTGAGCATCCAACTGTTACTCGGGAATCTCCCACTCACCCCCAGGTTCTCCAGGAGCAGCTGCATCACCTCGTCGCAGAAGGGGAGGATGTTGGACTGCAGGGCCCGGCACAGGTCCCCCACCAGCCCCACTGCCGACAGGCAGACCTGCAACGGAGCAGGGACCAGCTCTGGGGTTTGGGGTCAGCTCTGGGGATTTGGGGTCAGCTCTGGGGGATTTGGAGTCAC